TGTGTGTGTGTGTGTGTGTGTGTGTGTGTGTGTGTGTTTGTGTACGGTATATATGTGTGTACATGATTCAGCTAAAAGAATTTTACAAGAGTGTGTCATTTGTTTACATTTTTAAATCAAATGTCTGAGTCAAAATCTGCAAGCTAAGCAACAGTGTCCAGTACAATGTCAGTTAAATGATCCCAGTGATAAACAGCTTGAAAATATGGTGGCAGGCAAGGGAGTGCAAAAACCAACAGCTACAGGATTTTGATCACGCTGTGAGGCTTTTCGGCTGTCGGGATCCAAATCAACAGTTATGAGAGGAATAGGGAAGGACAGGAAGTGCCTGTGATCCAGACCATGGCAGATCAACACTGCTTCTGGAACTCTTTAACTCACCACAAGGAAACTGAAAGACATTCTTCATTCATTGTCCATGTTGCTTATTCCTAGTAGGGTCGCAGGAAAGACATCATTTCTAGTGATAAAAGCTGAGTCTCTGGATGGTAGTCACATGTCAACAGGCAATTTTGTCGGGCGGTTTTTCTGACAACTTTGTTCTTTTAAAACTTGAAATCAAAATTGAGATGGTATGGACTGCAGTTTAAAGTATTAAGTAAAAAGTTAAACGTTTTATTCCTTAAACCAGAAAAACAACACATTTTATTTCAATCTGAAAGGTTGGTACTTATCTGTTATCCATATTCAAACATGCAAACATAAATTGAGATGTAATTTGTAAGGCTAAGTAAAAAAGTTAACAAAAAGAAAAAAACAGGCTCTACTTTTGATACGAGCTTTACTCTTCAACGCAACCTGAGCCCTATTAGACAATCTTTCAGTCATTTCATGAAGCTGCCTTCAGCATTAGTTCTCCAGACTTTTTTGAAGGACATCGCAAAGCTGTACTTTGGATTTTGGCAGCTTTTTCTTCTGTTCCCTATCAAGATAATTCCATGTGACCTTAATAATGCTCTGGGGGGGCTTTTTCCCTTTAAACCCATCGATACCAATTTTCATGTGTGGTTTTTGTTCTTTCTTGTGAATAAGAGTTTACTTCCACCCATCCATGGAGATGATTTTTACTTCTTTTGAAAGGTTTTGTTGGCTGTAGTGGTCTTTTTTGATAGTGGGCCACAGGGTGGAACTGAACACAGGCTTCCTGTACAGGAGGAGAACCTCCACTAAATGGGCCACCTGCTCAACCCAGTGGGTGACTATTTCTGATAAGACAGACTGGTCAGCTGAAGGTCCAATCATCTTGGCAATCGATTCCTTATTTTTGGTTTATTCATCACCCTAATTCTTGGGAACATCTCTCTCATCTGTTCATCTTAGTGGTATCAGTGTTTTACCCCTTCCACTTCCTCTTACTCTCCAGCACTTGTCGTGCATTTTATGCCTCTCACGCTTGTCTTTTAAAAATCTTTTCTAGAGTCAACTGAAAAAAAAAGGTAAACAACTTGTTTGTCTTCATGACAGGCAGCTGATAGCGAAGTGCCTTGAATCGGGTGCTTTGCTAAAGCGTGAGTGATTCACGGGTCAGCGTTGAGCGGCTGTTTGGATATTTGGAAACCGAATATGAACAAATGAACGTGGGGATCGCCATTTTTTTAAATAATTACCTCTCCTGTAAAAAAAAAAAAAATTCTACGGCCTTTTGTCAGGAGCGACTGGGGGTGTATTCGTCCGAAATGGCTCGGTGTGGTTCTGGTATCTGATGCAGAGCGCTGCCGAGGCTGTACATCAAAGTAAGCTACTGCCGCCATCCATCTGACGCTTTCCGGCTCGGCTCCCACCTGCGTGCACCGGGCACTCAGTCCACCTGCGCCGGCACTTGGCCGACCTTGGTGGTGATTGATAGGAGGTCCTGATTCATAAGTCCTCCGCGGGCAGCGATGGGTAACCATCCGTCTTTCCGCTTATCACGCGGCGGGAGGAATGACGGATGAAGCGTTAAAAGCTGAGTGGGGAAACTAGCTTCACCTTTCCTCCACGGTTTGTGAAACATTTTGTAGGTTTTGCTTGATGCGATTATTAAAAATGATGTCAATTCAGTAGAATGTGACGTTTTCATGTTTGTCTAAAAGAGAACAAGTTTTTCCGGTATTTCAGTGGGACGTTTTTATTTTTTCAAGCTGAGTAATGTTACTGGAAAAGAATTCTGATTCCAGAAAAGAAAAAAAACACAACGTGGGATCTGAGTGTTTTTGGGTCATTTAAGCTGCACACAGCTGATCTTCAGTACTTCAGTACTTCAGCATGACCTGGGAGGAGAAGCCATTTATGTGATATGTTTTATTTATTGCCGACAGAGACCGATGTGGATGTGGGGTATCGCTGAACCGTGAGCAGAGAGGGAAACGGATGGATTTACCTCGCTGAGCCAGTCGGTGAAAGCCGAGGTGCGGGTGAAAACGGTGGGTTTCTTCACTTCGTTGCACGTTCTCGAGGAAACGAAGCTGGTCACGCCCTGGATGTACCACCTACCGTCCCGACCCAGACAGTTCAGAGGGCCGCCGGAGTCGCCCTGGGAGAGAGACGGAGACGTTTTTGGCTCTGGATAGGAGACCCTCTTTGGAGGCATTGGCTTCTATGGAGGTCTCACACACATTGCACCCGGACACGATGTCTCCCCCTGCGCAGACCATGGTGCTCTTCACGTTGATGCCCCACCAGTCGCTGCGACTGCACACGCTGTGCTCCACCACGGGGAGCAGGGCCTGCTGCAGCTTGTCGGGCATGGGGCCATGGGCTTACCAAACAGAGAGGACGGAGCCTATGAATGTTTCATGTCTCATCCAATCGCTATCGGTAAGCAGAGTTGGGAAAGTCGTCTAAAAAAATGGAAACCGCTACATATTCAGAAGCACTCACTCCTCGGTAGGCCCAAAAAGCCCTCCGGCTTTCCACAGGAATGGACTACTGAAATGGACTACTATGCAGTGATGCATAGTCATAAAGCAGCGAAATGGAGGAGAATGCTGTGACGTTACTGTAAAGGTTGCCCCAGCCGGAGATGTAACACGGAGTCCCATGGGCGAGGATTTCTCCAGCCTCCGGAAGGCAAGCCACGCTGACGCTGTCGGTCATGATGGGGCTCTTATCCAGCTTCAGCAGGGCGAGATCGTTCCTTCAATTGAAGAAGGGTAATATGGTTAGATATTTACCGATTTGGGATATCCGGTTTTCACTCATTTTTCAACCGTGCACACCGATCAGAAGACAGAACAGAAGACATTCGCTCGTTCGTTTACTTGATGAATGAACAGCAGTTACCTCAGAGCTGCTAATTTGTAAATAGTATTTACAGATATATTTCTCACCCGTCAGCCACGTGGTCAATGTCCCAACTGGGGTGGACGACGATGCGCAGGATGTCCCTGATCTGTTCCGTGCCCTCCTGGACGTTCATGTCATGCTCTCCAAGGAGAACGCGATACACGTCTCCCGGCCTGTATAGGTTTGTCATTTTCTTTATCGTTCAGAGGTAAACTTGAGCAACTGATCAGACAGAGGAGGGGTTAGTCACCAGATGCAGTGTCCGGCCGTCAGCACCCAGCGAGGCGCGATCAGAGTTCCTCCACAGGTGTGATGGAAACGGCTGCCATGTTTCACTTGCAGGGAGATCTGAATGGAAACAAAAAATAGAGTATATCAGTCAGGGTGCAGCTCTCCTAGATAAGAAAATAAGGGAGCACACATGGTGTGTGGATACCTGCCAAGGCCAGCTATGGGGTAGAGCGTCCTCTCCGTTCACAACCCTGTTGGTGTTGGGCTGGACGGCAGGCGTTCCGCATCCAAAAACTATTCATACACAATAAAGGATTCTTACTGTTGCTTACTGTTGATACAACATCTGTATCTAGTAAGAATCAGATGTTGTTTCCTTTCTCTGGCCAAACCCCGCTACTTACCGAATGCTGCTTGAAGCAGGATGATGGCCACCGTCTGCAACATCGCGTCTGGACAGGTGGATTCAAACTCCTGCTGTTCGGGTCACCTCTCTTATACCGGCCGCCAGCTCCTTTACAGATATTGCTTAACCTGGGAAACCGTGTTATCAGCACCCCTCGGTCGATTGCGGCTGAGAAAAACAGCCTGTACCACAGATGCATGGGTTGGTCTGCCAGGACTCAGAAGTTATCAGACTCCAGATGGGAAAAAAGAGAGCTTTAACAAATGCCACCGAGAGAAACGGCCCCAACTGTTCCAGCTTTTTTTTATTGTGTAAAGACATGACTTTTGTATGGAACAATAATGTGATATGTGAATCTTCCGTTTTAGGGAAGTGAAGGTAGGAATATATCAATGTCCCGCTGACAGATGTAAGCCTACTACCTGGAGCAGACCTGATCTGGATGGGATCGTAAGTTCCTCTAAAACCTGTATTCAACTTTGAGCAGGTTTCCAGTCCCACTACGTATCACTGTGTGTTGATCCAGTCCTACAGCACCACACAGGCACAGACGCAGGCTTGTGGAATTCAACCCTGTTGGCTGACTTGATTGCCCCTCCCCACTTCAGTTCTGAGGGGATCCACGATTTCTAAAAAAGAATTTCAAAATGTCTTTTTGCCTAACCGCATGGTTTTAACATGAGTCCTTATTGGTTATATCTTAAAGGCATCTTAACTGGAAGAATTCATACTATCTCTGGATCAATTCTACATACTTTTCATTTTATAGTATTAGTATTAGTAAACTTAAAACGTACATCGGCTTTGACTGGACAGATTCAGTTAAAACTGTAATAATGCAAAAAGAGGACCACAAAAGCATTGATAATGCCTTTATGTACAACCAAACAATATAATAAGGTCCAAGACGAATGCATAGTCTGCTGCATGCATTCCTCGTGGCCGTTTGAAAATTGTGCAGCTGCACACAAAGAGAAATCCTCTATTATGGACAGTCTGTCCCCAGCGTGAAACTGCGGGCTGCGTGAAGCAGAAACAGGAGGTAGCTGAGGAGGCATCATGGAGTGAGCGAAGAAGAAAAGCAGGCCGAGACTGAGGGATTTAAGGTCGCCGGCAGTCTTTGTGCCTCGTAGAAATTCTCCTTCCTACGACCACAGAACTGGATAGCTTTGGGTAACCTTCAAGAGCAACAGTCCTGTAACAACTTTCTCTCATTTAATAACATTTTACACATTCACAAAGGGGCCCGCGCTCCGCCGGAGTCTGGACCCAATTCTTCACGCTTCATTCAGACGGTCTCTTTTCCCCCTGAGGGGAAACTAATATCACTCTCTGGAGAGGATGCAGTGCATCTATAAATTTCCCCCTTTTAGGGAGCAAATCAAATCAATAGTGCCTCAACAGCAAAAAAAAAAAAGGCTTTGCTTGTTTTCTTGCCGTGTCCAGATAACTCCCTGCACCAGAAAGGACATGAGGATTTATGAAGCAGACATGTGCTATGTGTTTGCATAACACGGCAGTGACAGAACTGTGAATAATTCTGATTAGGGCTGCAAAACTTACAGCTGACAATGAATTAGCCACTAAGGATGTTTACAGAGGTCACTCAAGAGGGAGTCGCTGCGTTTTATGAATGAGTGTGCCTGTAGGGCAATAACTTTTGGGAAGTTAAACAGTGTGGAAAAGAGTCGGTTGCACTTTTATATCATTTATGTGCTGGTGATGTACTACTATAACAAAAACAAAACAAAAAAAACAAAGCAGATTTATTTCACAGTAGAACTCTTAGCCACAAAGTGACATTAAAATAGATTTTTATCAATAAATGTGTTAAACAGGGTATATTTTTTATTGTTCAGAAAGCCCTCATAAAAACCTGAGATATCACAGCAGTAACAATGCTTCAACTTATTCATGACACCAAAAGACCACAACCGTAATAAAGGGTTTATGAGGATATTACAGTGATAAACAGATCACATTGAAATGAGGCCATCAGAAGGAACATATTATGGTTGAATGCCTCCAACAATCAGTCAAACTGAAGTGTCCATCAGTGTTTAACTGAAGTTATATTTGTTAACAACCATAAAGATGATATATCAAGAGGAATCTTTGTATACATTTTTGACTTGTGAACTAACAATGTCCACTCATTGCCCACTTTAATGTAGACAGCTGTGAGATGTGATTCTGCTTCTTCACAATGTCTAACTATTCAAAGTTGAAAAGTTTTCAGTGTTTGTTGATGATTATGCACTTTTTGGGCTAATGTATATTGCAGGTATGTTCCCATCCAGCAAAAGCTAATCACTAAAGTAATATTAGCTCATTATTTAAGTATTTCTGTTACATCTTCACTGCTGTGACATTTGATGCTAACTTGTCCAGTGCAAGTCATCTCTGTATTCATGAGGAAATTATTTTGAAATAACAGACAGTATTTTTAAGGATAAAAAAAAAAGACTGAAGTTGTAAACTGTAGTTTGTTGCAAAACGACACAAACTGTTCTGAAAAAGCAGACACATTTTTTCAATTATTTGTCTTTGGTTTAGTCAACTGCAAGAAGGTTTCCACCCAGACATTGTTCTTCCGAACCATCTAAATCAATATTCCCAAAGAGAAATACAGTCCAACGCAGCAGCAGGTCAGCTCTTTAATCAGCGCTCGCTCAAGACAGAGATAAATCATTTCAAAGCAGCCAGCACAGTTTAAGGCCAAGTATGTATCTCCCAAGGTTTTCAGATAAGTCAGAAATCTGATGAGAGCTGCCTGGAGACAAAGGAAATGCTGCCAATTAGACATTTGAAACATAAATCACACTTTACAAGCTGTCACATCCAGCGACCGGCATCCAGGTTCCAGCCTCTCGCAGTTATTAATCGAAGGCTTGAAATTGGTTGGATAAATGTGCAGTCCGCGAGTTACTTCATGATATCTTCTTTCAACAAAACGGAATGGAAACATGTGATACAGGGAAACATTCAATATACTTCCCAAATTGAAAATGAAAAAATCAAGGTTAGGGAAGTAGAATAGTATGAGAATGGTTTATTTCTTTACAACTGTCAGATGAGTGCAAATTTAAAAAATACAGTGGTTTAAACAATTAAATTGTATACTAATGTAAGTAAAAAAAATTCTACACTGTTTTGGTATGGCTACGAATAGAACAAAAACACATCTAATGTGATATTTAGTGAATTTTGGAGGTATTTGCTCTTGTTTATTTGCCCTGAAGCTTTAGATTGGGTTAGTTTAACACATTTTGTTTCTTGTGCTAAACTAAGAAAACAGGAGCCTGGAACTCGCAAGTCAGTGGAAATGTTAATCAAGCAAACAGACGTTAAGGAAATCTGGAAAAGCTAGAATGAAACATATGTCAAAATGTAAAAAAATCTAATCCACTGCCAGTGGCTTAACAGAAAACTGGAAAAAGGGGGGTAGTTAGGTTAACAATAAACTGAAAAACTATCAAGAGGAAAAATGATCATTTGATTGAATGAATTTGTCTTTGTTTTCTCCATTTAAAAGCTGTTATATGCAGTTAGAGCCTATTTAAGATAAGCTCGACTATTTGGTGGCTTGTTGTAGCTTCACGTTTAGCCTTAAAAACGACAAAGACAAGCACTTTTCCAGATGCCCAAAAAAATCCCTTCAAAGCAACGGGGCCCCAATTTGACCAACTTAACTTTTTAATCAATCGCCCCGTGTCTCTCCCCGGGCTGTTTGGGTGCCATCCCTGTTCCGCTGCTGCTGAGTTTGCTGCGGACTGTTGCTGTTGATTGAGAAACAGAGTGGACTTTGCCTCCAGGCTCCAGACAGAGATAATCACGTCTACCAGTCGCTCTGCACAAATTGTAGCCCTCAGGTTGCTTTTGACATGCAATGCCACTCTCTAACTAAGCTATCTGCCCCCTCTCTCACTCCACTCTCAGCTGGCATGGATGGACTAATCTAATAGTTCCTTCAGAGTACTTTATAAAACATTTACCCCACCATAAGTTAATTGAGTTGTTTTTTTTTTTCCTCAGCAATGCTTTCTTTCACAGCTAGCTGAAAAGCCTTCTGGAAGTCTGTTGGGCTACACTGGAGGAAGTGTGTCCATGTTTTTTTTTACACATTATATAAAAAGGTAACTATAAAATATTTTATATTCATAAAAAGGAAATGGAGGAATGTTAAACATTTCCGTGGATAACTGGGTCACATTTTATGTGGGCTGACGTGATCGCCGTTCTGAGGTTCTGGGGATATTGTGGCTTGGGCCCGGACAATAACAAAGTGATACTTAAATGCGTTATCATAAGGTTTAAGTCAGCAAAATAAAATCAAAGTCAAATTTGTTTTGGCTCAAACTTCCTTTTTTCCTGATTCTGAGGTCATTGTCCGAGAGGAAGAACAACCACGTCTTTGTTGTCTCTCTCGGACCCTCAAGCCAAAAGAACAAAAGTGGAGGAACTGAAGAAAGAGACTTTCATAACAGAAACCCCATTCTGATAATTGGCACTGATAGATGAAGGAAACCTAAATCCAAATAAACGCACCCCCCCCTCTGTGCTGAGCAGCTGGGGCTCCACTGATTCATTGCAGAAGAATCCTCCTTAACCATCACAATCTTTTATTTCACACTCCGTTTGAGAGTTTGTGAGCAACGCCTCGGACTCCCTGCGGACTTTGGAGGAAAAAAATCGATTTCGATCGGTAATCGACTCCGTTTTGGGCTTCTGTGGCAACGCCATTCCTCGTCTTCCTCTCATTCTGTTATCCACCGTCTGACAAAAGCCAAATTATAAACAGTTCCTTACACCCACAAATCAGGCCTGGGTTCGGGCCACCGGCCCTGGCGTGATTGAGGCGTTTTATTAAGGAAAGCGAAAAGGAGACCACTACTGTTTCTTCTCTGGGTCCTCGGCCCAGTCGCAGCGAAAGGAGCACGTCAGCACATCTGGCCTCTCCGGAGGGATTTCGATTGTGACGATTGAAGCCCAACTTCAAAACCGCGACAACAAAACCGTTGTGACAGACGGGAATGAATTCTGTTCACTCGCAAGATTTAGGACTAACGCTTTTTGGCATGGACCTTTCAGGGGTGCCA